GACCTGCCCTCTCAGATACCAGAGTCCTCTCCACATAGGAAGTCCTGTCTTGGAGAGCTTGGCATTTCCACTGCTGGGAAAAATAGGGATTGACCATATCCATGGGCTGTATCCACATAGACAGGACAGAAAACAAAGTCAGAAAAGGTTTAATGGGGATGAGAAGTGAAACTCACCATAGGATCTCAGAACCTTGGGAATGGAGCAGCTGTGGATAAACCAAACCAAGGGCAAAAAAAGAGGGAAGGGGCCGGAGAGATAGCTTGGTAGAATAAGCACTTGCCTGGCAAGCACAAGGTCCTGAGTTCAATCCCTGGTACCACAAAAAATAAAATAAAAAATAGGACAGGGAAGGAAGAGAAAGCAGAGAAAAATAAAATTGCCTGAGAATGTACTCTATGCTGGTCTTCTGCAAAGCAGACCTCCTCCAGTCTTCCCAATATCTATGCATTAGGAATGAAAGAGCTGCTGAAACTTACACCTAAAAATGAAAGCAGCTAGCTCTGCATTCCAGGGAACCAGCAGAGTTCTTTTCATGAAACTCATAACTTTGCAAAGCAAGGTGTCAACTAGCCAGGGTGCAAGAAGGAGAAAGGAATTGACGGTCTCTATTTAAAAACCACACATCACATAAAAACCACCTACCAGCTCCAACCCAGAAACCCAAGAGACAGGGAGTTGGAGGAGAACAGGGACAGAGAGAGGAAACATCAGAGACAAAAGTGGGACAAACAGTCTCAGTAAAGTGGTGCAGGTCAGGGTGGGAAGGAAGACAAAATCAGGGAAGTCTGGGGGGATGGTGAGGGACCTCAGGAAGACAAATGTTGATGTGTGGGTATGCACATCTGTTGTGTGTCTAAGACCTTTGGTAATCCCTAGACTTTCTTCCTAGTCTTCATGTCCATCAGGATCAGTGGAGACTGCTGTTCTAGAATCTAGACTAACTGCTAAGAATGATCTAGGGAGACCATGAACAGAGCTGAGAGAAAGAATGTGATGCAGGAGATACAGGGCAGCCAGGCAGCCACTCCAGGAAGCCACTCAAATACTAGGGAGGGAAGGAAATTAGGTTTTCTGTAGACACTGGGATAAAGGCCTGAGTTACTTCATTTGGTCATTCTAAGAACGTACAGAAGTTTAAGGACTTAGTGAAAATTCTATGGAGAAGATTCCTTACTTTTATAGATGAGGGGAGCAAAGCAAAGAGTATTTCTACAGTGTCTTGAGACCACAGTTACTAAGGATTAGACATGAAATTTGAGTCCAGGTCTGATCAGAGCCAAAGTTTATGCTCTTCCTTTCCTCCAGGCTTCCCTGAGATGGACAAGTCACCTCTTCTTTAAGGGCATGGTAAACAGTAAGGCTAGAGGAGGGGTACCAATGAGTGTTCTGTGTTCATCCTGAAGGGCTAAGAACATCATTTTTAGCAAAGGAGGCTGAAAGAAAGGGAGACGACAGGTACCTTCATGTCCCATCTAATTCTTGACTACTCAGAAGCCCAGACCTGGGTCCTAAGTAGATCATCAACACCTTGGCACAAGTGGGCACTCAGACTAGAACTAATTCCATAAAGAAAAGGAAGAGGCAGAAAAACATCCATTTAAAGAGTTGTTGCAACCATAATGGCCCAACAGAACAACAGGTCACCCCTCCACCAGCCCTGCCATTTGTACATACTGATGGGTGGGAGAGCTGACTGTAACATCATTATAACTCAGCAAGACAAGTGGCTGCTTTACTATTAAACTAACTTTTCAATACCTCATGAACTAATAAGAATGGGTTGGGAGGAAAGCTTAGATCTTGCTCTTCCTGGAGCAAGTAGTATCCCTAGTGGGAGGAAAAAGAAGAATTTCAACTGACCCTGGCTGGCCTAGAGCAATGACTCAGACACTGACCTTTGGTAGCTCCTCTCTACTCACAGGACAATAAGCTCCACCCTCAGATGGCCATAGGTAGGCCTCATCACTAGATTCTAAGTCAAACCCAAGTACCCTAAACACCTGAGTGCTGTGTAGAAGGATAAGTAGTCAGACTTGGTGGCCAAGAAGATGGAGAAGTGACAACTTCCTTCAAATAGGTCAAAGTGACACGTTCACAACAGAATCCACTGGGCACCAGCAGAGACCTCAACATCCATCCCCAAACTCAAAGATCATTTTCCAGAATTCTGGGCATTACCCCATCATCCTTTGGGGAAGTCACGTGCAAAGCTTGCCAGGTTTTTGTAAGAACCAGGCAGTGAATGCGGTAGGTATTTTTTTTTTTCACAAATCTAAATTGCCTAAGTCTTCCAAAGCATTAACCCAGAAGTCAGCTTCTACCTGACCCATCCTCTGGTGCTCTGTCCAGGATCTAAGTGTAAATCATTAGTCTAAACTGGACCATTTACCATCAGAACTATTTTTACATGTACATCTCAGAAGTATTAAGCACAGCCAAGCTAGGCAGCCACCAACACTGCCCATCTGCAGAACCTTCATATCTTGCAAACTTGAAATTCTCTATACTCATTAAACTAAAACTCTTTGTTTTTATTTATTTCTGAGCTTTAAAAATCCTAATGCTAAACCTCGGTACACGATAATGCACTTTCCAGTTCAAAGATTTCTGAAAACATTCTTCACAAAGTCTTAAAAAGCATCATGACCCCCTGAGTCCACCCCCACCAGGGAGTTCACAGAAAGGTGGCAAGAATTGGAAGAGACAGAACAAAGTGATGCAGAAACAAAGGTCAATGAATTTTTCATAACACAAAGCTCCAGGAAGAGCAAGTTCCCAGCTGGCTGCATCTAGACCTCAAGTTCACCTTGGCTTTGCACGGCTAAATTGGTTGGGCCATTTGGCCTCATTGCTTTAATGAAGGAATCTTACTGGCATGAGATGATAAACCAGGCTCCCTTGTCACCCTCCAACCGCAGCACCCCTAGGAAGCACGTGTGAAGAGCCAGCATACTCTAGAGACTGCTGAGTAAATACCTCAGCAAAAAAACGGCCCTAAATTTTGGGCAGGGGAGTGGGGACGGAATCGCACTGAGTCCATAGTTGAAAGCTACCCAGGTGTTACAATGCAACTGTCATTATGAGGGTTTTAATAGCCCCCAGGACCTACCTTCAAATACATGCCAAGAGGGAATGTATTCCCAACTTCACAGGGAAATATTTATTTCATGAGACTCATGCAGACTGCCCTCTGCCCTTTACTAACAACAGATGAATTCCCACCTGCAGAGAGAAGCCATCACCCTGCTCTGCACAGCAAGCAGACCACAGCTGAGCTGAGCAACACTCCTAGATTGACTTAAAGAGAACCAAGCCCGTGATTCACTCCCTGAAGACTCCTGCTGACATCTATGTCCACAGGTCCCAGAGAGAAGCAGGCTGGACCTGATACTGCAGTTCCAGCAGAACCAGCCACAGAAGGGGGCTTAAATCTTCAGTTAGGAAGCACCACAACATTCCTTCTACCAGCCTTGGAAAGATACACATTATTTGTACCAGCAATCCTACTTTCTATCCTCCAGTTTCAGGAAAAAAAGAATGTGGACACAAACACACACACACACACACACACACACACACACAATGATTGAAACAAGGATGTGCACTGTGGGGCTGTTCATAGAACCAAAATATTGGACACAAGTGAACTTTCAACTACCCAATGCAGATGAAAACCACAGAATTTTGCCCATGGACTAGGAAAGAAAGCAGTCATAAGACAGTAGGTCTCGAGTAGCTCTAATGCCACTTTGCAATCCAGTAAGTGCAAATAAATATAACATGAAAAATATGATTTGTGGGTAATGAAGCAGGTAGATGGGTCCAACTCACTCACCCTGTGGTTTGTGTTCAAAAATTCCTTGGCTGGCACAGCAAGATCATGGATATTGTGAGATTGAAAGAAAAACAGCAAAATGACATTAAATATGCTCTGGAAACACAATAAACATGAGTTCACGATGAGGTTGTGGCAGCAATGGATAGAGTATTATAGCTGGTAGCCCTCTGCCCCAGCAGCACTACGAGGGACTGGGGTCTACAACGCACCAGGTCCCCAAGTCACAAGAGCAAGACCTCCTGGAGGAGACACCTACAAGAGATGGGTCACAGCTCTGCTTTGGTCCTCATGGCCTGGCTGGGGGTAGCCAGCAATGAGCAAGTTCCTACAGGCTCCAAAAAGGGATGACAGGGAGAGTCTTGGGCTAGGTATCTTCTCCAGAAATGTGTCATCAGGGTTAACGGGTTGCTTCCTGAAGGCACAAGCCAATGACCAGGCCAGCCTATGGTATGTCCAGAACAGACCCTGTTAGGGAACTAGATGACATATCAAATTCCTGCCTTTCTTCGTGATGCACCGAGGCTCCACCCAAATTTCATCAGATGGAAGTAGAACCTGGGGACACAACCTAAGAGAGTGAGGATTCACCAACGAGGTATCTGAATGAAGGTCTTTAAACAGAAAGACAGCAAGGAAATTAGTTTAAAAGAAACATCTGAAAAAAAATGAAGTTCTGCAACTACCCGTCCCCCCACTACCTAGTATAGCAGAATCTGCTAAAAACAATAAACATACCCTCTCCCAATTTTTTTTTTGAGTGTCCAGTATTGTACCAGGGTCTCATGCATGCCCATAAGCGCCCTACCACTGAGCTACATCTGCAGCACCTCCAAAACATTTCTATAATGCTCTTGCTTACTTTTGGGTGACAATATTAGGTGAATATTCAACATTTCAGGGTGAATGCACATCACTAAAAAATCACAGTGGGCAAAATCACAACCACGTATGGAGAGAGACCTCAATGCCACCATTATTCATGGCATTTCTGAGTGGGATTATGAGAAATTTATTTTTGTCTTCTTTTTGGCTCACCTAAGTTTCTGCGATATTCTGCACCAGACGTACATATTCTTTTTAGCGCAAAGCAGTTTACCAGCCTATGCACCTGTTACCCATCAGCAGCCTGCCCTGTAGGAAGTACCGAGGGTGAACTCACCTGGCAGTGGGCAGCCGAGGATCTCCAGCCTCATACAGATGTTCCCATTATCAAACCAGGACTGTGGGTTTATGCGAATGTAGCGGGCCACCATGGGGACAGGCAGCTCGTTGAGCACAGGGATCTCCTTTTCAGTGTTCCCTTCAAATATCTATTTACACTCAAGGGGGAAAAGAGGAATCTTTTACAGCTTGGTTATCATGGAGGGAGACTCAGTAATTTAGTAAAAAAGACACTATTAAGAAATCCTAGGGGCTGGAGAGATGGCTCAGTGGTCTAAAGCACCTACTTGGAACTAGCTTGGCAAAGCATCAGGGACCGCAGTTCAATCCCCCAGCACCACATGCCAGCCAGCCCCGCCCTCTGGTGGGCTGAGCTGGCCACACACACACACCTCTCTCTCTCTCTCTCTCTCTCTCTCTCTCTCTCTCTCTCTCAAATAAATAAAAAAAAATTAAAAAAAAAAAAAGAAATCCTAACTTGTACTGAGCATTGAGGGGAAAAGAGAAATATGTACATTCTAGAACATTCCCCAGGAAGCCTCACCAGCAAGAGTGGGGACAGCACTTACCTATGGTGTGACAACCTCAGTGTCAGGGCATAGGAAATTACAGAGCTTTGAGATTTTAGAAGAGACCAGGAAAGCTTGGGGAGAAGGCACCATTTGACCAGGCACGGAAGGAAAACTATATATATTCATAGGGATGGAGATATTTCACAGAAAAGAAATAGTAATAGTTAGAGATGCCCAGAAATAGGTTTCATTGTTAGAACAGCAGTTGGTTGCCTGCTATGAGAACCTGAGAGTCTTAGGGTGGGGTGGCAATGAGAAAGTAGAAAAGAAGCGGTAGTCAGTTATATAAGGCATTGAATAGCATGCTAGGAATATGCACTTTAGAATCTGAGTAGGAAAGTAATAAGATCCGAGCTAATAACAGGGCTAATGACCCAAGGTCATTGAACTGAAGCCCGTAAGAGCCCCCAGCATATTTGCCACCTATCTACACAGGGTTAAGAGGAAACTACAAGAGGTCACATCACAGAAGCTCTTCTGTTGGAGTAGAGGCTGAATTCAGAGTTGTCCTCAATGTGGTACATTTGGTACTGAGCTTCAGGGCATAGAAAGGGGGTCACTGTCTCTTGGACGTTCATGGTTCATTTGAGTTGACACAGAACTGGAAAACCTCTAGGGGACTGAGCATATGATGCCTCTCTTCGTAGAGTCCACATGGCCGGGCACAAAAGGTAAGGTTATGGGGCAGAAGAGGCTTACCATGTCTCCGGATCCATTCTTAACAGTGACCCATGTATGGCTGTCGTTGCTCACCATGACCTTATAGGATGTCACCCAGTCACTCCTACGAGAAAAATAATATATCTTTGGAATAACACCCTCTTAGAATGTTTATTTCTTCATGCAGAGGCATAGAAGTAAGAACAGAAACATTCCAATGCTGAAATCCCACATTCCATGGAACAGGAAACCCCAATCCATGGTTCCTTGATACCTCTGGACTTTTTTTTTTTTTTACCTTGGCCAGGTAACAACCTTGAAAGAGTAATGAAAATATTGAATGGTTTAATACACTTTAAACATTTAGGATAAGTCCTAGGCCTTGGTAAACACTCAGTGTTGATCACACGCATAATGGTATGCAAATACCTACCTACTTGTGTTAAAGAGTTATCTCAAACACAGCAAAAGCTTGCTAAAGTGACACATGGAAATATAATCTCAGTAAAGACTGTAACTTGCTGCAGAAATTTCATTTGGAAAACTGACTTGAGAATGTAGCAAACCAGATCCCACTAACCTCCAAAATAACAGCTTGGGTCTATAAAAAGCATTGAGTTTCTCCTCAGCTGTCACTCACATAGACAGACAGTCCCCACCCCAGAAAAAAAAAAAAAAAAAAAAAAAAAAAAAACAGTGATGGCTAGGCTCTGTCACCACGTCCTCCTGCCCACAATTTACTGAGGGTAAAACAGCCTTAATCTGACTCCTCAGAGTAGAGGTCAATCTGATAGGGTTCACAAAAAACAAACAAAAACTTTATACATAAACACATTTTTCTCTGTCTGGTTTTCTCTACAATACTGTTAGGCAACATAATAAAGTCTTTCTGTGTATTTTCCCTTTGTAATTTTTTAAATATTGGTACTAAGTACTACTTTCCTAGTCTTTAAGATAATTCTGCCCATGGAAGACTTAGGGCTCCTTCCTTACTGTGAGATCTGCTCCATCTCAAGCTATCTTTACAAGGATCTGAGTTTCCAGTCAGAGTAAAAACATCATCTAGTGAGCTTAGAGAGAGGAGCAGCTGGTTCTGTTTTCTCCCACCCATCTGACTGACTTACATGAAAAAGTCTTCCTAGTGGTTTCGGACATGCTTAGAAACAAGCCTCATCTCACAGTCCACCCCCTCTCCTCGGCCCTCCCCACCAGATACCTGTTGGAAGTCAGTATCTGTCAAGCAACACTTCCTGCCTCTGAGAGCTCTCAGCAAGAGGCAGGGCTGCAGATGGAGATGCAGCACCCACTAAGAAGCACCTCAACAACAGGTCCTTTGCCTGGAAAACTGTCCTCACCCAAAACAGCCACCTGTCTCCCACACCCAAATAATTTCCAAATGGCCTGCAGCTGCCACGCTCTTTGCTTTCTGTTCTTCAGTCAATAGTGCCCAATGGTGACCCAGCAAGGCAGATGACGGGTATGGGCACTGTCTCCTACTGAAAGAGTAATGAACTCAGGAAATCACTCATGAAAAGAAACATAAGATAAATTATTAATTGAATAATTAATCAATTATGTATCTCAGATCTCTTTTCTGAACTGCAGAGCCACACCAAATCCTTCTACCTGTGCAGGCTCTCCACCTAATGTCTCAACATCTCATATAGAACCCTGCCCCAACCACCCAATTGATTTCTGCCACTTCATGCCCCAGCATGGTGGTCTAGCGGCTGACTTCACAAAGGCACGTCCACCCACTGGAGAGGACAAACCTGCAGGCATTCTTGATGCTCCACTTCCCTCTGCCCTACATTCAATCCGTCACAAAGCTTTGTGAATTTTAAGGTCACAGCTCTGTGGAACTCACACAACTCTACCCTTCCACTGTCACCATCCTGGCCCATTCTTTCAGGCTGACAGCTGCCTACAAGTGATCTACTGGACTCTAAAAACCTCCTCAATCCATCCTGCATCCAGAGGCTTCCTTTTCTAGTGAAATAGTGACTTGTCACTTTCTCTTTAATATACCTATTAAGCCCTAGATATTCTTTTTTTTTTTTTTAGGATTTATTTATTTGGTACAGGGTCTCACTACACAGCTCAGACTCCTATTGATCCTCCTGTCTCAGCCTCCCCAGCTCTGGGATTACAGGCATGTGCCACCACACTGGTTTCAGTGGCTGGCATGGTGAGGGGCTGGCACAGCACATGGGACCAGGGATCGAACCCTGATCCTTGCACTTGCCAGGCAGGTGCTTAGTCCACCAAGCTATCTCCCCAGCCCAAGTATTATACATTCTTATAATAAACAAACTCTTATTTTAGTATTAAGACCAAGGTCTTCACTATGATCTCCTGGGCCTTTTCTTATGTCTTGTTTTCTAGGTTCTTTTCTTCCATTCCAGATACTGATTTCACATGCTCCTGCCTCAGGGCCTTTGCACAGCCTGGTCCTCTGTCTAGATTCCTCCCCTGCCTGTGAATTTGTGCCTCCAAATTGTCAGAGCTCAGAATTTACCAAAAAGCTCTCCTGACCCTCCAGTGGAGCCGATTACTTTTCTTATTTTTGATCTTCACACTTATTTGAGTCTCTAATTTTAAACTCCTGTCTGGGATTGTCTGAAAGTATCTCTATCTCCACTGGAGTCCAAGTGTCTCACAGAAGGAAGAAGAAGAGGGCATGGTACTTTGGAGGCCAGGGAAAGAAGCTGATGTTCTGGAGCACACGGTGAGGATGCGGGAAGTGGGTGCAGGGATGGCCTGGTGGGCTTGGTACACCACTTGGGGAGTGGCCCTTTTTCTGCAGGACAGAGCTGGGTCTCCTGAATACACCAGCACAAGGGTTAAAAGAAGACCAGTAAGAAGGTCTCCTCAACCTCTGAAAATTTCACCTCAGCAGAATGTTTGCCATCAGGAACTGCCTCAGAGTTCCCCTGTTTACATGATAAAACAAACCCTCCCTTCCACCACCTTTGTCCCCAGCTGGAAGGAAAAGATAACAGCCACAGAAAGGCACCCTTACCAGAAGTGCACGGGGCCCTTGTTGGCACCACCTCAGACTCACTTCGCATTGCCGTGTTTTGTATTGGGAGCATCTGAGGATGAAGCCCAGAGCTGCACACTGCTACGCAAGTGCTGCACGAGACACACCCAGGGCTGCGCTGGCCCTCACAGCTTACCTTACCAGCTGATAATAGATAGTAATAACATTTTCATTCTCATTGCTTTCTAATACTTCTGAGAATGTAACACAGTGTACCACAAGTTTTCTGCGCTATTGTTAATGAGTAGTTTCCAGTTTTGATGATCGTGAACAGTGCTTCTATGAATATATATATATATATATATATATATGCAAATAGATACAAAATTGTTAGTGTATAACTGGGATAGGAACTTCTGTGTTATTTTGTCATATGTCATAGAACAGACATATGTCATATGTTTATGTACTTGTGTTCGGCTGTAGTAGTTTTTTTATTTTTATTTTTTATTTTAGGGAAGGGTCTACAAGGTGTTCAGGGTCTCATTACTACATTGGATTCACAGTAATTCTCCTGTCTGCAGCCTCCCAAGTGCTGGGATTACAGGCATGCATTACCACGCCCAGTCTCAATCACTGTCTCAGGGCAACCCGGGGACGGAGCCAGCATGGCAAGCCCAGTGATCAAACCCGCGGCCCCTACACCAGCTGGCAGGTGCTTAATCCACTGAGCTATTTGGTCAGCTCCTGTAGTAGTTTTTTGAATTAATTGTAACTCTCTGCTGTCATAGCAACAATGTGGGAGAGTTCCAGTTGCTCCACATTCTTTCCAGCACTTGTTTTCATCTTTCTTTTACATCCTAGCCTTTCTGATGGTTGTACTGTATTATCTCATTGTAGCTTTTAGTAAGCTTCAATGTTTTGTGTGTTTGTTGGACATTCAAATAACATTTATGAGATATTTACTCAACTTTTCTCCTTTTCAATTCGTTGCAGTACTTATTTTGAAGCATTCTTCATATATTCTAAATATGAGTTAAATGAATATATATCACACATATTCTAATTCATCTTCATTTTCATTCTCCTTGGGGTATATTTTTACAAGGAGAATTTCTTAATCTTAAAATAGTCCAGTTACCAGTTTTTCAACATTTTGGGTATCTGTGCCCTTCAGTAAAATTTTGTCTACTCCAAGATCATTAGGTACACATCAATGTTTTCTACTAAAACTTCATTGCTTGACCTTTTGCATTTAGACATGCATTCCACATGAAATTGATCAGTGTATGCTTTGAGGTAGGGATAGATATGCATTGTTTTCTCTATGGGCTTCAATTGACTCAGGATACTTACACGCTTACGAGCTATCGTACCTCAGAGTCATATTTGCCATAAATCATATGATTTTTCTATACCTAGGGATGTTCTGGACACTCTATTCCATCTCAGGATTCAATTTCTTGTCCTATTCTAAGCCTGCCTTGTCTTAATTTCTACAGGTATGCAATAGATTTTAATATCTTCCAACGTATGTTTTCCGACTTTGAGTTTTACTTTTCAAAACTTCTTTCACTATTCTTGGCCGTTTGCCTTCCCATATAAATTTTAAAATCAGCTTATCAATTTCTAAAAATAAAATCTGTATCTTACAACTGGGATGACTGAATATGTTAATAAATTTGGGGGAGCTAACAGCTTTACAATCTAAAACTTTCCAGTACATAAGAATGATGCATCTCTTTACTTATTTAGATCTTCTTTCACTTATCTTTTGCTAGATTTAGTCCTATGTGGTTGATTATTTTCCTTCTTTTACATGATATTACTAAGTTAATTTTTTCCATGTTTCTTGCTGGTGTTACCAGACACTCAGGTCTGGGCTGCTTTTTAATTTCCAAGAAGTATAGCGTGCGGGGGTGGGGCAGGGGAGGAGGGTTTATTTAAATCTAGCTCAGAAGGATATAGAGGACTGAATGCTGCACTGGCCTCACCCCCAGGCGGGCTGAGCTGGCGATGGAGTCTGGACATGGTGGTGCTTGCCTGTAATCCCAGCACTAAAGAGACAGAAATCAGGAGGATCACTACAAGTCCAAGCTGCATAGTGAGACCTTGCACAAAAAAATAAAAAGATAGAGATA